AGAATTATGCAATAAAAGCACCAGCCAACTTGGTCTACAGAGTAAGCTTTGGAAATACACAAATGGAATTTCACCAAGAAAAATATCCCTGAAGCAACAAAATTTTCTTTTAGATGGAAAGTGCGTGGGGAAAGGAACACATCTCCTCTAGATAAAAACGGATACACCAAACAGTGTTTGTAAAAATTCTATCTCTGTTGGATCTTTGTGTTTGGCAGTAAGGCAGCAGCTAATTTGGTTTCATTTTAAAATTCCAGTGATTATAAGGTCTGGACATTTCCGATGGAGTAGCTATCTTTGTACTAGAGCCAGACCCCAATTTTTAAGTTTTTCCCCCAAATATGTGCTAGAGAACTTTAACTGGTAGGTGCTCTGTCACTATTTCTGTCGGAGTCAGACACAGGGGAGTCAAAGGTGATTTTCTGAATCCAGTGCTTTGTCCCCCATTTTTTTCTGAGCATTCTCAGGAGACAAAGACAAGTGTTTCGAAAACATGTAATTCTAAACTTCCCTTTCCTTCTAGAATTACTTACTATCCATGAGTCCAACAAACTCGCAAGGTCTGCACGTACCAAATGCAGAAGTAAGGAAGAATGTGTTAGTTAGAATGCTTGCTGGCAATTGGTAGACTGCCCATGAAAAACTGGTTAACCATTATGGAAAGTTTATCATTTCATGTTCAAAATTCCTGGTAGAGCAGTAGCAGTATTAGTTAATTTGGTGACACAATTATGCCATCAAAGATACAAATTCTTTTTAGTTGTCTTTTTTTTTTTCCATCCTCAGCATGTGAGTTTTGTTTTCTTAGGCTTGTTTCTTTTTGATTGCAAAATGGCTGCTGCAGCTCTAAGCATCATATTTGCACCAAAGTTCAAAGGCTGAGGACAGTGTGGAAGTTGACAATACAAAATGGAGTCACATGTTAAAACCCTAATCAAATTGGAGTCAGGGAGGGCCGTAAAGAAGAAGCTGTCACACTTGCATCCCTGACATACCTGAGTGTCTTGCTTATACCTTGTAAAGAAAGCAAAGAAAACTTATCATAGGATTTCCCTCTGGCCTGCAGTATTTCAGACAAGACCCTGGGACCAGGACAGTTGCCTACCAATAGCTATTACCCCCAATGAACTAATGTCAACTACTGCAGTGAGTTCATGAGAATAATAAGCTTTGTTTCAAAGTATTAATAGTTTGCATGGACTTCTTCTCTTTCCTTTGTCCCAATTTTCCTCCTCTGTGTGCCTGTGATTTTCACAGGATGCACACCCTGGGTTGCAACCTGTGCTATTCCTAATTAAACTCTTTTGTTCCAGAGAGGCCGTCTCTCTGAGTTTTTTTTTTTTTTTTTTTTTTTTTTGGTTAATGATAGCATATCCCATTTTTTTTGTGTCTCTTTTTTAAGCATAAGAAACACTTTTCTAGGACTCCACAACAGGCTTATTCTTGCTTTCTCTGGCCAGAACTGTATAATTTGCTCTCTCATAAACCATCGATCCACCTTATTCATGTAATCTCTGTGCCAGGTATGGTATTAAATTGTTGGTATTAGATGTAAAGTTCTGTTCTCTTGCCAAGAGCTAGTATCTCAACAGTTCTTCCCCATGGACCAACTACTGAGCAGACCAGGTATTAAAAAATCATAAACTTTAGGTGTCCTGGAGGAAAATGTGTCCTTATCAGGTGATGTAAACTTGTATCTTCTAATGAAGAAGATGATAAACATTTCAGCCTTTTTCCTAATCTTTCTGAACCTTACATTTGGCTTTCTAGTTCGATGAAACACAGTTTTATTGCAGCATTCAGAAGAAACTTGAAATTTGCATTCCTCCTAGCCTTCTGGCAAAGTAAACTGACATTATATTCGATTTTTTTCATAGCTCTAAATGATTATCTTTCTTTAAATAGATGCTCATGGGCATTCGCAGCTGATCATTTCTTCTTATGAAATAAGTCACCGTATCTGTGTGGATGGTTATAGATAGACACAAATCATACGCATCACTTTAATAAAATTCTCACTTACTGGAGCTTTTAAAGGCTAGTTGGTACCTTCATGGGACACAGATTATATTTTCAATAATGTTTTTGTTGGCAAAGCAAGTAAATTAGACTTTTGTTCATCTGGAGCAAGAGGCAACTTTGTGGATTTAATATATACAATTAAATTGAGTTGAAATCTACTTTAAATGAACATTGAAAACAAATTAAGTAATCAGTCAATGTAATGTTTGTGGTTACAGCTCTTGTATATATTTGGATAAGTTGAGAAAAAAAGCCGTCTGCATTGCCAGGCATTTTATTTTATTACAGGGGTGGGGGTGGGGGTAGGGAAATAGTGAGTTTGGCAACATGTGAAATTGGCTATAAAATATTATGTGCAATGATAATTTGTTTTTATATTTGTGTGAGCCCTACATTTGTTCCCATAGATCAAGTATAATCATATGGCACATCAGTGTCTACTAGTGTTGGAATCAGGCAATCTCAACTTTAGCTGATGAAATTTATTTATCTTTTTGTTGTTGTTGTTAATTTTTCCTATTAACCACGAATAGGACCTTTTAATTTGACATTTGAAAGCACTGGTATTAATAATAGCAATTTTTTAGTTTCCAGCTTCTTGAAATTTGACATTTATAAAGTTAATGTGTATCTTTTTCTCTTTTATTACAAATTATTCCTTTAATCTTATGACTTTGGGATGGCTTCTAGTGACTTACTGCCTCAAAAATGACAATGTCGAGAAAGAAACAATTATGTTTTATACTTAGTTAGATTTATTAGTACTGACTTGAGTTTTGTGCTTATGCAAATAAATTCACACTAGAATCATCTGAAGATTCTTGGTTCTCTGGTAAAGTTTAAATTTAACCATTAAGATTATGGCACTAACTGAAGGATGGACATATTTGAAACACGGACTTGGGGGGGGAACCAAGGGCAACACACATAACCTAAACATCTGTACCCCCATAATATGCTGAAATAAAAGAAAAAAAAATTATGACATTTTATGAAGTTTAACTCCTGAGCCATTTTCTTTCTGAGTTAGCTACATTTGATTCAGATTTTGAATGTAGTTCACATTTAAATACTGATGGAAACATCACTCCCTGTTAGGTATTGCGTTCAGTGTACTAATACAGCACTAAAATTCCAACAGGCAGTAAATTATTGTTTTCTTTCCCTCTTATATCTTAAAAGGTATAAATCTCAAAAAGTCTCAGACTTTACAGTATCTTTCGATCTATTTTTTGATTTAATTGTATTAAAAATTCAATTAACTAGGTACAGGGACAATCAGCTATATTTGTTCATTGGAATTTATTCTATAAAATAATTTGCTGACTTAGTATATCTTTTGTAAATTGTGGGTACTGAAACTAATTATTTAGTGCATATATTGCTCAAGACTCTCGTTTACAAATACCAAAAATGAAATTTAAAGTATTTTAGCAAAGGTGAATTTACTGGCTTACAGAATGGCATAGTCTATGAAAATTGCAGGAGCTCAAATACACTCAGCAGTAATCATTCTCTCTGCACCCTGCTTTCCTCTGTATTGGCTTCTTTCTCTTTGCTTCTTTTAGCCATGAGCACTAGCAGCCTTATATCCTGGAACCTCCAAATCCAGTGATTTTTATCCTGGATAATCTCAGTAAAAGTCATGAAATTAAGCTCCATGACCTGGGACAAAAGGAACCCATCCCTGACCCAATCTCTGTGGCCAGGAGGTTGGAATGTATCAGTGGTTGACAAAGATGGTCCCTGGACAATACCCGGCAGCATCACCTGGGATTGTCTTAGCAGTGCATATGTGCAGGTCCCATCTGAGATCCAGTGAATCAGAAAATCTGGGAGAGGGCTCCAGAAAACTGTTATAATAAGTCCTCCAAGTGATTCTGATAAACAGTCAAGTCTGAGAACCACTGCAGTATACTCACTGTTGAGGCCTGGGTTATATGTGCAACCCCAGAGCTTCAGTGTAAGTTCAAGCCCACAGAAAGCACATGGAAAAATATCAGGAGCTGATACCAGGACAAAGGAAGAGCAGACGCTATGCTGGCCAGGAGGAGAGGTGCCTACTGGAGTGAGATTTCAACCCAGTAGTAAGGTTTTCCATTGTTTCTCATACCATTATTTTTTAGAACACTGCTGGTTATAAGTTCCCCTCCAGAAAACCAATATTCTAATTAAGCAAATACATTTTCATTGTCCTCTAGGATATAGTGGTTTAGCCTAAATTTCATCTTGGAGGTGGATGGCTAATCTTAGAAGGTTTCCAGACTACATTATTTTCTTATCAAATGCTTCCTGAACTCTTAGTATACAGCCTCATATAATTAAAGCCCTCGATAATGAGCCTTGCTCCTCCTCTGGATAAATCTGACTTTGCTTCAAAAATTCTCAATGAAAATGGCAGTAACGCCTGCAGAATTTTAAGAAAGGTGGTCAGCATTGCAATATCATCCACAATAATTTGAAAACATTTTTTTTTGAATGAATACACCTAACAGGGGAAATGAATGCAGCTTTTCGCATTGTTATTGTTGTTTTTGTTGTGTTCCGTTCTTACTTGATTTGGGATAGTTGCACATATTATCCAGGGGCAGGGAGTAGAGTACCCTTCAGAGTTTCTCAATTTATCTGCGCATGAGAATCCTCTGGGCATTTGTTATAAATACAGACCTCAAGGTTGTTTTTCAGGATATTCATATTCAGGAGGTCAGGGGTGGAACAGGGAATTTGTATTTTTCATTATTATCCAGGGCGTCTTTATGATCGGGCATGTTTGGAACACATTCTGGAATGGTGAAGAGTGAGATTTCTGGGGTCAGTGGAGTGGGGTCAAATCACGGTTGTAGCGCTTATGGGCTGGGGGTAAGCTGTTTCACCTTGTCAAACCTCAAATGTAGCCGCCGTGATTACCATTTGTTGTTGTTCTCTTCTTGTCTCTTGAATAATCTGCCTGTTTCACCTTCTTATTTCTTATGCTGCAGATAGAAGACATGCAGTGGGGAAAAGGAGTCAGGGAGATCCCTGCCTCGGTGTGCACACTACCGTGCAAGCCCGGGCAAAGAAAGAAGACGCAGAAGGGAACTCCTTGCTGCTGGACCTGTGAGCCTTGTGACGGCTACCAGTACCAGTTTGACGAGATGACATGCCAGCACTGCCCCTACGACCAGCGGCCCAATGAAAATCGAACCGGTTGCCAGGATATCCCCATCATCAAACTGGAGTGGCACTCCCCCTGGGCCGTAATCCCCGTCTTCCTGGCCATGCTGGGGATCATCGCCACCATCTTTGTCATGGCCACTTTCATCCGCTACAATGACACACCCATCGTCCGAGCATCCGGGCGGGAACTCAGCTACGTTCTTTTAACGGGCATTTTTCTCTGCTACATCATCACTTTCCTGATGATAGCCAAACCTGACGTAGCAGTGTGTTCTTTCCGGCGGGTTTTCTTGGGCTTGGGTATGTGCATCAGTTATGCAGCCCTCTTGACAAAAACGAATCGGATTTATCGCATATTTGAGCAGGGCAAGAAATCAGTGACAGCTCCCAGACTCATAAGCCCGACATCACAGTTGGCAATCACTTCCAGTTTAATATCAGTTCAGCTTCTAGGTGTTTTCATTTGGTTTGGTGTCGACCCACCCAACATCATCATAGACTATGATGAACATAAAACAATGAACCCTGAGCAGGCCAGAGGAGTTCTCAAATGTGATATTACAGATCTCCAAATCATTTGCTCCTTGGGATATAGCATTCTTCTCATGGTCACATGTACTGTGTATGCCATCAAGACTCGGGGTGTACCAGAGAATTTTAATGAAGCCAAGCCCATTGGATTCACTATGTACACGACATGTATAGTGTGGCTTGCCTTCATTCCAATTTTTTTTGGCACCGCTCAGTCAGCGGAAAAGGTAAGTGAAAAATGCACATCAGACCATACATTTCAAAAATGTGTTTCGTTTTGGAAGCACTGAAACAAAATTGGTCATATAAAGTAAGAGGTTTTATATATGCAGAATGGTATTCCCAAGGGTAGGGAAGCCCTGGATTAATAGAGATCAGTGCTGCGGGATTCTAGAACTATGTCATATTCATTCCACTGGAAACCAACCAAAGGCAGCCTTTTTCAGGTCTCTTACATTTATTATAGAATTGTTCAATGTACTAAAAGATTATGTAGTATAAAATTATCTAATCTATCTAAATTAAACCCTCCTATTCATTCATTCCCCACCACCCTTCCACACATATTTCTTTGGGATAGGAGAAGAGGACCATAGTACCTTATCCTCCAGGTGGGTGTATGTCATGGTCATTGCTGTCACCAGAGTAAATGCTCATTCTCTTCTTAGTCTATCTGGCTGTCACTACCTACCAGATCTAGCACTCGAGCTATACAACATGGTAAAGTTGCTCAATCGTACATGCACAAAATATGACCAGATGGGTGAATGAATATAGGAGACATTTGGCTATTATTCCACCCTGGGCTCCCTGCAGCTAGATATACATTAATCACATCAAGCAATTCATAGTGAGATTAGAGATTACCTTCCACAAGAGGAAGAGACAGTGTATCATGTAGAGCAAGTTTCATCCAGCTGTCAAAGTTCGAGGTTTTCAAAATTAGTGGGCCCTACTATGTTAGTGCACATGCTCCCTCCAGGTGGTTATGAGTTTTATGAACCTTTAATTTAGTGGACTCAATGGTGTTAATTCTAGACCTGATTTTTACACTTCTGATTCCTATATTCACCCATCTGGCTATAGTTTTGTGTAACATCATGCCCAATATGTTGATAGTAAGAAGAAAGGTATTCTCTCCTGGATGTAGGCGGCTCTGACAGGTTGGTGCAAGTGAGGCCAGAAACGAGACCTAGAGCTCTCTCTGACATACTGTATAGGAGAGAGCCTCGTTAGGGCTAGATTAGCTGTTAGGGCACTGGGAGTCTTGTCTGATTTCCTGATAGTGTGGACAAATCTCTTAAACACTCAGGGACTTCATCCCCTAAATTAGAAAAACAAGAAGAAGGAATATCTAAAAATTTACAAAAGGCTGTGCTTCCCAGAATTCGTGGAATCTGGTTTTCCATTGTTACCTCTGTTCTCTGCATAATCATATAAAGGATTAATGGCTGGTTTTCCAACTGAAAAGATGTCTTTTACCTAAATTGTGTGATTCAGAAGCTATAAATTTGGACTGTATTTTTTTTAAAGTAAATATCGTATGAAAGCATGCAGAATTCTAAAACCAAAGACAGTGAATTATTCCAGATTATGGTTTTCATCACAAAGTGTCTTAGAGAAAGTCCTTCTAAAATATATGCTTAATGAGCATCATATGTTTCCAACAGTATGTTTCAATTTCATAAGACGTGTTTACTGTCTGTGAAACCAACTTGAATTTTATTTTATTTCTCCTCTCTGTCCATGGGCCAAGGGGATAATAAAATATGAGTTAGGGTAGTGAAATACAACAGAAGAAAATTATCCCCAAATGTATGCTGGTAAGCTGATAATCACTGAATTTTTTATGAGGAATGATGGATATCATCAAAGCCTATGAAGATAATAATTATTTTGTTATTAAACATAATACCCCACGCATCAAGGTAAAGATGTTAAAACCTCTTCCTGTAAGTTTATTTTCGAGGAATATAAAAAAGAAGAATAATTGTAGTAGCTTCATAGATGAGTCTGGTTGCAATGCCTGTTTGACAGTATATGTCTCTACCATTTCATTTTTCATTTCTGGCTCTTTCTGGTCATGACTATGGATCTTTTCAATAAGGTCACAGGAATAATTTACTCATTTAAAAACCTGAAAGTGGTGTAAGGTTTCAGGAATGGCATTCTAGTTGTTCCAGAAGACATTGTGTCGGTAGAATTGAACTGTGGGAAAAATTAAGCTGTCTTCAAGCAGTGTGCTTTTTATCCTAGAATTTCAGAAGGCACATATTTTTATTTGTAGACTCTCTATGGGTTGCGATTTTTACATGGTTGATTGACACAGGCAAAGGTACTGAATTGCCAAATGGGAACAGTGAATTATTATCTGTAATTATTATCTGTAATGCACATACCCTAATGATAGGCCTATGGCTAGAGAGGCATGAGCAACTATTTACAAAATACAACTCTGTGTACATGAAACCTTGACACTTAACTTGTGCAAAGTGGCAAATCATCAAATGTAACAAAAAGACCACAGCAAAAGGCATTTTTGCCAAGCCAGCAACCTACAGAATCATAGCCCTTCCATTTTTATTTGGATTTAACAGTTTAAGTGTTTTAAATGGAAGAATTGCATTCTAAGAGAGGAAAAAAGAAGATTAGGCAGTGAGTTCAGTAATAACTATTTACTGTTTCAGGAAATTGAATTCATTTTGATTATGCTAGGAATATCTTTGTAAAATTTCTCTTCAGTTGAGTTCATTAGCACAGCATAAAGATTAAGCAATGTTCTTATTTTCTTGCAAAATACCAACACCCATGAAGATTATTTTTGCTTTTGTTAAGGAGGATACAGATCACTGCCACCTTGTTCTATCATTGCTAACCCTGTGACTTCTCGAATGGGGATCTTGCAACAAGGCCAGGGAGAGAAGCAGTAGACTTTAGCCACAAGAAAATGATTCCAGGTTTCAGGAATTATATTTAGGTGACTGTAATGATGTGAGAACACACTGCAGCCAGTAAAGCAATAGCACAGTAGAAGCTGGCTGGCCTAGTGTGGTGTGATAACATCCCTTTATTATATCCTGACACTCTCTGGTGAAGACCAGATTGTTTTCTATGAAAAGTAAAGGCTTGGATTGTGAGTATGTCTATACAAGGAGTTGTACCTACAGAAAAAGAAGCATCCTTCAGGTAGGGAGGATACAGGCTACCCTGCCCAAATCTGAGAAACCCTATAGATGGTATATTCGTCCAGAGCATGTTAGCAGTTGTCTGAAGCACTTTCTAGGAAAGCCAAGGTGTCCTTGCACAAGGACAGGGAAATAAGCTTTGTACAATGTGACTCTGCAAGGGGAAAACAGACTGTGGTACAAAAGGAATGGGATCAGAGGTTCTCAGAGGTCTTCCTTTGTGTGCATGTGTGTTTTTTGGAAGGAGGGTGATACAAAAAGGGAAAAGAAAAAGGTTGAGGTGATTGAGGGTCAGAGAAATTTGCTGGCAGAGGGTAGTTCCTTGGAGAAGGGAGCGTGTCTTCTAAAATGACACCCACAGGCCACTGTTCTGCACATATCAGAGCAGAAGCAGGGTGTATTACAAAATCTAAATAAGAGGATGCTTTGATTTCCACTGGAGCATTATTCTACTGTATGACAGAACTGGGGCAACTATAGGCAAATCTCTGAACCAGCTCAGAGTCCTTAACTCAGTGGTTCTTCAAAATGTGTCCATGATCATCCCCTGAGGAATTTGTCTAAAAAATCATTGTATGTCTGCCTCCCCTTCCCCGCTGGTTGAACAGGACTAATCTCAGCCTGCTGGAAAAATGCCAGTGGAATCCAAGCATGCTTTTTAAACTGCCTAAATACTTTCTTCCCACCCATAGAGAAAATCTTATAAATATTTTCTTGATTTCTAACTTCGCAGCCTTTGGGAATAAATTAATTCCCATCCCAAGCAAATGGGAGGGTCCACAGATCAAGGAACCAGGAGATCAGAAAGACACTATCCAGGTCAAAGACAAAGTCAAGGATCAGAAGGTCCAAATGAAGGCTCATCCCCAGAATTTGGGCCAGCGACCTTCAAAAGCCAGGACCAAGTCCATGGCCTTGGCACCAGAGATGTAAAACAGGCAGATGGGATGTTCCCCAGGGGTATTTCTTGAGGAGCTTGGAATATATTCCAAGATCTTTTGATCTTTCACATGTAAGAGATAGCTCCCCAGAATCTGAACACAAAGTAAAATCTGCCTAGGACCAATATAGTGATCATCAATATTTGGCAGATAGATAAAGATTCTTTCACCCGTGCCCAAGGCAGACATCACTAATCAATCATGGCACGCTTCCCCTGAACATGGGCTTAGTCTTGAAATCCTTGTCAACATGGTCAACAATCGTTACTGATAAACCAAACAAGAAGAAATTTGAAATCCATGCACTATTTCTGATGTAATCCCAGGCTCTAGCAAGTGACCCTTGATACCTCTTGCCATCTAGCTGTTTGCTGTCATTGTGAGAAAACAAATGAATGGCTTTCATTAAGATTAATCTGTTTAAAATTAAAAAATAGTTAGAGAAATGGGAGTGTGCTTTAATTAGTTTTTATTTTGTTTCTGATTACAAACCTCCTCTGTTCAATTCCCAAATGCCATACAGAAAGGAGCAGTTCTAGTTCTCTTGGGGAATAATATATTAGTTTATGCTTCTACACTAGTTGATTTGATTAAAACTAGTCTTTCAGCAATTGAACTAACACTTGTAAAGCATCTACTCTGCCCCTAGTATTCTTTTAAGGACCGTGATATGCAGGTAATGAAGACATTATCCTTGTCTGTTAGGAACTCGCAAGCTAGTGGGTCAACACAGGTCTTCAAACTCCAGATAGTGTGTGACATGCTACAATTGTAGCACAAAGAATGAGGGACAGGCACACAGAGAAGCAGTTTCCACTTAAGGTTCACAGAAAATATGACAAGTGAACTAAAATTAAGAGCAGATAAGGCCGGCGCGGTGACTTACACCTGTAATCCTAGCACTCTGGGAGGCCGAGGCGGGTGGATTGTTTGAGCTCAGGAGTTCGAGACCAGCCTGAGCAAGAGCGAGACCCTGTCTGTATACTAAAAATAGAAAGAAATTATCTGGACAACTAAAAATATATAGAAAAAATTAGCCGGGCATGGTGGCGCATGCCTTTAGTCCCAGCTACTCGGGAGGCTGAGGCAGAAGGATCGCTT